AGCAGGGCTAGTCTAGTGAAGAGAAGGACCAGGGGAGACATGATAACAGTCTTCCAATATTGGAGTGGCTGCCACAGAGAGGGTCAAGCTATTTTCCAAAGCACCTGAAGGCCAGACAAGGGATAGTGGATGGAAACTGAACAAGGAGAGATTCAACCTAGAAATAAGGAGGAATTTTCTGGCAGTGAGAACAATTGATCAATGAAGTTAACTTGAGAAGTTGTGGGAGCTTCATCACTGGAGGCTTTCAAGAAGTGACTGGACTGTCTCCTGCTTGGGAGGAGTGGAGTTGGACTAGATGACCTACAAGGTTCCTTCTAGCTGTGTTATTCTGATTGTTTGATGATTCTGGTATCATATACATGAAGAAAGTTGCCCTGAAATTCTGAGCGCAACAAGTCTTTTTTGCCAGTCTTGGAAGAGAAACGTTACGCTAGCTGCCCGTTCGCCCTTGCAGGTGCAGTTGACACCCAGCCAGCCTGAGCTTTCCGTTCCCTCCCGCACTCACCTCTTCGCTCCTGACTCGTTCCTCGGCCGCAGCGGCAGCGGCGTCCCCTCCTGTCCCGGCGGTGGCGGCAGTGGCCGTCCCTTGCGCGGGTGCAGCGCGGATCTCCAGGGCTTCGCAGAGCTGCTCGAGGCTGATGGCGTGCTCCCCGCGGCCCAGGCGCTCCTCCAGCCAGCGCACCAGGGCGGCGTGGTGGCGCGAGAGCAGCGGCTCGGCCGAGGGCACCTCGCGAAGGCGGGCGGCGGCTTCCTCGCGCAGCCGGGCCTGTCCGAGCAACACCGCCGGCGGCGGGAGGGTCGAGGCAGCCGAGGAAGACGACGACGACGACGAAGCCGGCGGCGGGGAAGCTATGCCCGGGAAGGCGGCCTCCATAGCTCCCGGTGGAGGGGACTCGCTGGTGCCAGCGGCCCAGTTGCCGTTACTATTGCTCCAGGTGACGATGCTTGCCGTTCCTCCTCCTCCCCCTCCTTCCGCTGCCGCCTCCTCCTCTTCTTCCTCGCCCTCGCTGTGGCTACCCACGTTCCCCATGAAGCCCTCGGGCCGCCTTTATGCCCTGCGGCTCCCTCCCTTCAGGCGAACTCCTGTCACGGATCAGGAAGGGCCGTCTCGCTCTTTCTCTCTCTCGCGTCTTCTTCCCTCAGGACACATTTCCGCCCAAACGTCGCAAAGGCCGCTCGCCCAGCAGCGGTTTACGACCCTGCCGTACAGCAGAGCTGCAAAATATGGTGTGGTCCAGGGCCCGAGCGGCGCGGCGAAAGATGGCCCCCTGTCGTCTAATAAAGTGATAACATCGCTTTTCGGCAACGCCGCAAACCTGAGCAAGGGGAGGAGGGGGTCTCTACAGCAACAGAGGGCTGGCATCATTTTGTGGCAGAGTCGCAAAAAATCACAGCCGCCTAGAGCTAAGAGTATATATCATGATAACCTAACGTGCGCGAGCGTCTCATAATGTCGCAAAAGATGAGCGGGATTCGTTTTTTGACGGCAGAGGCAAGAGTGTTTGTCCGATAGTGTTAATTTTGGCTGAGGGAAACTTGCGGCATAGNTGGGCCTGCATCGAAGTCAGATAAGTCATCCGATATTCTCGGGCTTTCCTTGGGTTTGGAGGAACTGTTATTTTTTGTGTAGCTTCTTTCGGTTTTTGCAGGAGTTATATTTGGTTGTCTAAGCGCAGAGTTAGACACATGGCTATGGGGTTGGTCTATATGCCTTCTCCAATTTCTACCATCCTCAAGTTTTACTGTGTACGACCGAGGACCGGTAATTCCAATTATAGTTGCGGGAATCCATAACGTTCCCCCTTTATAGTTGTGTGCATATACCGAGTCTCCTATGGTGAAAGACCTGACTTTGCTTGTGGAGTCAGGGGGTGTTGAGGTGGGATAATTTGGGTGTAGCTGGTCTAAGTGAGACCTTAGGCAGCAGCCCATGAGGAGTTCAGCGGGGCTTCTTCCAATGGTAGCACTGGGTGTGATGTGTTGAATGAGTAAGTAGTCATCAATTCGTGTTTGCCAATCGCCTGGGCCCATCCTATTAAGGGCTTCCTTTGTAGATCTTACCATTCGTTCTGCCTGGCCATTGGAGGCCGGATGGAATGGCGCAACCAGGGCATGTCTGACTCCCTGAGCTGCTAAGAATGTTTTGAATGGCATGGCCGTGAATTGGGCCTGTTGTCAGAGACTAGTACATCGGGAGGCCGTGCGTGGAGAATAGTCTCCGTAGTACCTTAATGACTAGTCCTGGAATTCATCAGGACTACTTCTAACCATTTTGAATATGTGTCCACAACTATGAACAAGGCTTGGCCATGGACTGGTCCAGCAAAGTCTATGTGTATTCTGGACCATGGTGCTTGTGGGTGCTCTCATTCCTTGGCGGGCACTTCCAGGGGAGCCGGTCTGGACTCCTGACAGGGCGTGCATGTAGCCACCCATTCTTGTATGTCCCTGTCCATGTTAGGCCACCAAACATAACTCCTTGCTAGAGACTTCATTCTAACAATCCCAGGATGCCCTACGTGCAGTGCTTCAAGGACTACTGTGCGCAATTGTTTGGGAATGACTACCCTGTCCCTCCACAACAAACAACCGTTAATAACCGACAATTCATCCTGCTTGGAAAAGTACATTTTGAATTCAGCCCCAACAGGCCCCTTGGGCCACCCCCTCCACACCCAGTTCAAAATTTGCTTTATTATGGGGTCCTTTGCAGAGTGGCGTGCAACGTCACTTGATGAGACGGATCCGGTTTCCAGGCAGTCAATGAGGAGGACCAACGTCTAGGGGGTGAGGTCAGCGAGAACTTCAGGCAATGGGCAGGGGCTCAAAGCATCTGTGTGCCCTAATGTGGTGCCCGGTCAGTGGATGAGGCGATAGGAATAGGCTGCTAGAAATATTGTCCATCTGGTCATCCGGGGAAATAGTGATACTGGGATGGGGCGATCCCTAGCCAGCAACCCTAACAAAGACTTGTGGTCTGTGACCAGTTCGAAATCCCAGCCATAGAGATACTCGTGGAATCTCTTTACTCTGGCTACTGCAACCAAAGCCTCATGGTCCAGTTGGCTGTAGTTCTGCTCTGCGGTGGATAATGTCCTGGAGTAAAATGCAATGGGGGCTTCAGCACCATTGGACATGCGATGGCTAAGGACTGTGCCGACACCAAAGGGGAAAGCGTTACAGGTCAACACCAAAGGCAGGGTCTGGCTGTATTGTACTAGGAACGAGTCTGCTGATAAAATTGTTTTTACAGCGGCGAATGCGGTAGCCTCAGTTTTGCCCCAGGACTATTTCGCGTTCTTGGCTAGGAGACGATGTAGTAGTTCAACAACTGTCGTTTTCTGTTTGAGAAAGATGCTGTAGAAATTAAGGAGTCCGAGGAACGCCTGTAGTTCATTCTGATTGTGAGGTGTGGGGGCTTCCTTAACGGCTTTAATTTTTTGTGATGTTGGGTGGATCCCAGACCCATTGATCATGTACCCTAGGAATTTGACTTTTGGTACATTGATTTTACATTTTTCTTTTTTGAGGAGGAGGCCCCTGTCTCTGATTCTAGCCAAAACTGTTCATACACGTTTTAAAAGTTGCACTTCATTTGCGGCTGATATCAAGATGTCGTCGAAATAGGGGACAACTTCTGGAATCTCCAGCAAAAGTCATTCCATGATGCTTTGGAACAGTCCGGGGGCGATACTAACACCTAATTGCAGGCGGTTGCATTTGAATGCACCCCTGTGCATCACAATGGTTTGGGCCTCCGCAGTAGCGCCATCTACTGGCAATTGTTGGTATGCCTGCGCCATATCTAATTTTGCAAAGATTTTTCCTGGGCTGAGCGAATGCAATAGGTGTTGTACAACAGGTACAGGGTAAGCGCTTTGTTGTAGCGCTTTATTAATTGTACATTTATAGTCTGTGCAGATGCGTACAGACCCGCCAGGCTTGACAGGTGTCACAATTGGCGTCTCCCAGCATGTGTGATTGACTGGCTCTAAGATGCCCTGGCTCACAAGCTTATCGATTTCTTTGTTAATTTTTGGGCAGAGAGAGAAAGGTACTCTCCTGGGCTTTAGCCTAATTGGGGCTATTGTGGAGTCTAAACTAAAGGAAATGGGGGTTCCTTTGAACTCACCCAGACTGGTGCCGAAGACGTCCTCGAACACCTTAAAGATGGCTTCAGCGGCGTCCTCCTCCATGGAGTTGACTCCGGTCACTTCCATTCCCAGAGTTTGGACCCAATCAAGCCCCAGCAGGCTCTGAAGGTTGTCTCTGACCACTGTCACAGGGAGTTTTTTGCAGAATTGTTTGTGGCTTACCCGTAAAGTGCCTTGGCCCATGATGGGGACCTGGTTCCCCTGGTAGTCATGTAGGCGGACGTCGGG